CAGATTAAAAAATCCAATAAAGAGCCCGGCCCGGCCTGGCTGAGGAGCAGCTGGAGCGGGGAGTGCCCGGCTGGCGATGCCAAGGATGGGGCGCGCGGGTCAGGGCATCTCCTTTGCAGAATCCTATTTTTGGGGAGCAGGGCCCCTCGTTTTCTGGAGGCAGCCCCTGCTCTCAGTAATAAAGGACAGTCAGTAACTGCCAGCGTGAGTCGTCTCTGGGATCGCGGGAATGCGGAGGGTGGTTCCTGGGGGCATTACACCGGGTGAGCATCCCCCCAAAATGCTCCAAGTGTTATCCCGCTCAACCCTGAGCATTCCAGCACGGATCCTGCCCCCAAAACTCTGGGATCCTGCCTGAATTGGCGGCTGGTCCTCCCCCACAACGGGGTTTCAGGGACAACACTGACCCCCACAGCCTGCTCGGAGCCGAGTGAATTTCCATCCCATCCAGGTCTGGGCTGGATAGGGACTGGAATGTGGCTCCAAAAGGAAGGAAGAGGCAGGGAACCGTATCCTGTGTCCCGGTGCCATTGCAAAGGCTCCGGTGGCTGTTAAATAATTCACGGAATGCTGGCCTTGAATAAATAAATGAAACTTCAAACACAGGCGTGGCAGGAGAGGCATCCATGTCCTCCCTGCCCAGGATAAAATCCCTCTGGATYCACCCTTCAAGACATGGGATGCAGTGATGGAGGTGGCTGCTCCAGCTGAGCCAAACCAGGGAATTTTGGCATCCCAAAGCTGCCGATGGCATCGGTGCCACCGAACCTGGGCTCTTACACCGACGCCGGGCTCCTTTTATCCTCCCGAATCTCTGAAAGCGCGGCGCTGCCGGCACTCCTGTTGCACGGATCGGCAGCGATTCCCGGTTCCCGTCRCTCCGTGCTGGCAGGCAGCGGGAGCAGATGGAAATAGCGGTGTGATCCCAGCTGCGGCGAGGCCACCAACGGCCGCACGCGGGGCTGGGAGAGGAGGCACAGGGATATATATAGGGACAGACGTATGGATGATGCACTGCCGGCAGCAGGGACTCGCCGGTGCCAGCGGCCCCGAAATACGCGAGAGGAGCCGGAATCTGTCACATTCCCACCGACTRCGGCAGCTCCCGGTCCCGGGGTCACCACAGTCAGCACTGGTGCCTGAATCCTGACTCTTTTCCTTGGGAAAAGGCTGCGGGGAGGCAGAACCCCTTTATCCCAGGTGCCAGAGCTCCTGGATCTGATCCCGGYCACCAGGACAGGCTGGTGGTGTCCAGACCCACCTGCATCCCATTCCCGGCCCAACGGGTGGGCTGGCAGGGATCTGGTGGCATTGGATTTGGCTTTGAATACTGAGGGTCTCTGCCAGGGTCAGCAGCCTCGGGATCGCGGATAATTCCTTGCTAATTAGCAGCAGTGTCTTCCCAAATAAAGCAGCAGCAGTCTGGATTCATGGCACGAGGGGATGGGAGACACCCAGCGTTCCAGGGGTGTATTCCTGGGATGTCATGGGATCCTGGGACGCTCTGCCCCACAGGGATTGACCTGCTAGGAAGCCCTGAATCCAAGCTCCTGCTAAGCCTCAAATCCCTGAAATTCCTCTGGAGCAGCCGGCACCCACAGCTCGTGCACATCTCACAGAAGAAGGAGCTCCACATGTCCAAAATAGCCATGATTCCTGCTGCTGAATAGGAAGAGGAGGGGAAAGCCAGCAGCATCCACYCTGCCAGTGCTGGAGCGGATGTGGCAGCAGCTCTGGCTGCCTCCCAGCCCCAACCCCAAATCCATGGCGATTAAAAGCGGATGCGTGGTTTGAAACCTCCAGCGAGCTCCAGACCTCGGATCCCCAAGCTTCCTGCCACACCGGCTTGGCTTGGGGACGGGCAGAGGGAATCGGGATTCCTCAGATGTCAGAAATAACAGGAGCTGGTGGCCTCACACTGGGCTGTGTCACTGGCTTTTAGGGGATCCCAAATAAACCCTTCTTCCCTGAGGCTGGCCCCCATTACCTTTCTCTGACACCAGGTTTTCTTGGATTTGTGCTTTTTATTGCTTGAGTTTGGTCCAAGAAGCAGTTGGAGAGAGGAAGAGGGAGGATGAGATATCAGCCCTGGATTTGGTGCCCATTTTGGGGCAGACAGTGCCAGAGATGAGCCTGCTCCTCCCATAGAAGCAAAACCCTTTCCAGGTTGGAGACAGGCAGTGCTTACACCCAGGTGGAATTAACATTGGCTCCTTCCCAAATCTGATGTCTAGGAGGAACCTGGTGGAAAATTTTCTCCCCCAGCCCCATTCCAGCAGCAAGATGGGGGTCTCAGGGTCTGCGCCTTTGTTCCCAAACCTCGGAGCTCTTCAGGGTGACAGGATCCATGGAATGGATGCAACCAGCATTGCTTTTTCCTGTGCTGCCCAAAGGGACAGGAGTAAAGGATTTTTGGAGGTGGTGGGGTGGGAATGTCCCTGCGTCCCTGGGGTGGCAGTGTGGGATAACCCCTGAGGGCAGGGGGCTGTATCCCAATCCAAAGCACCCTGTGGCAGGTGGGATGCTCTCAGGTGGGATCACCATTGGGGTCCATAAGCCCTGCAGATCCGGGACACACTCTGCTGTCCCAACTGGATAAGGCTGATTGTCAGACCGTCTGTTTTCCTTTGTGGAGGCTGTGAGCTTCCTCCTTTCCCTGCCCTAGGTGGGAATTCCTTGGGAGGCAGGTGGAGGCTCTGCACCCCTTCAGGGGGACAGAAGCTCAYGTTTCCTCAGGAGATCCCGTCAGGGCTGCGGATTCCCCCTCCTCATCCTCTGGCCCATCCTCGGGGGACACCGGGGTGGCCTCGGCGCCTTCCTCCTCCTGGAGCTGCAGGCTCTGCAGCCGCTCCTGCCGCGCTTCCATGTATTCCTGCGCCCCTTCCCCCACCAGCTGCACTTCATCCCCGACGCAGGGCGGCTGCCGGACGGGATTGTGGTCGTAGGACAGGAGGCGCAGGCAGGCGAGGCCGGTGAGGTCCGGGAAGCGGGAGATGCGGTTGCGGTCCAGGTCGAGGACGCGGATGTGCTCCATGCGCAGCAGCACGGACGGGAACTCCTGGAAGCGGTTCCCGTAGAGCCAGAGGCCGCGCAGGGCGRCCATGCGGGGCAGCGCCGCGGGCAGCCGGCTCAGCCGGTTGTCCCCCAGCTGGAGGCTGCGCAGCTCCGGCAGCTGCAGGAGGGCGCGGGGGAAGTGCGACAGAAAGTTCCCCTCGATCCAGAGGCAGCGCAGGTTCTGGAGCTGGGCGAAGGCGGCCGGCAGCTCCTGCAGCCCRTTGCGGCCCAGGTACAGGTACGCCAGGCAGGGCAGGTCGCACACGGCCTCGGGCACCTCCATCAGCTCGTTGCCGTCCAGGGCGAGGGTCCGCAGGTGCTGCAGCTCCGCCAGCTCGTCCGGGACTTCCCGCAGCCCCGCGTCGCTCAGGTACAGCTTCCGCAGCCCCTGCTGAGYCCACAGCTCGGCCGGGATCTGCCGGCCCCGCACCTCCAGCCGCTGCTCGACGCCGTCGGGGCCCTCGGCGGACGCCACGGGCACCCCGCGCCCCGCGGAGCCGCCGCTGCCCATCGCACACCGGCACCGGCAGCGGGACCCGGCGGGGCGGGCGGGGCGACGCCGTGGCCATGGCAACGCTCCGCGGCCAATGGGAGCCCGCCCCTTTTCGGC